GGAGAAGGACATCATGCTTGGTAAAGTAGAGGGTCAGTGAAAAAGAGGAAGACCCTGAGTGAGATGGATTGACACAGTGGCTGCAACAGTGGGCTCAAACATAGCAATGATTGTGAGGATGGCACAGGATCAGGCAGTGTTTCATTGTGTTGTACGTAAGGTCAGTATGAGTTGGAACTGACTCGATGGCACTTATCTTAGGCCGGGTTCTCTAGAGAAGCAAAACCAATAAAACATATAAATATCTATATGGAGAGATTTGTATCAAGGAAATGGCTTACACAGTTATAGATGCAAGTCCTTGGGTCAGACTGAAGGCTTCTCCCGAGTCATGTAGCCGTGGGCTTGCAAACCCAAGATCTGCAGGTCAGACAGCAGAGCTCTTGCTCACAGGCTGTGAAGACTGACGAATCCCAAGATCAGCAGGCAGGACTGCAGGTAAGCTGCTAGCTCAAGTCCCAAGAACCAAAGGTCAGACAAACAGGAGCCAGCTGCAGGATCCGGCATGAGCAAAAACCCACAAGCCTTGCCAGAGTCTGCCGATTTTGGGTTCAGGCCACACCCTAAGGAAACTAACTCCCTTTCAGCTTATTGACTACTCACAGCAGATCCCATCATGGAAGTGACCACATTATATCAAATCTTATCACGGAAGTGATCACATCATCAGACAACTACGAAACTACATCATAACTGCCAAACCACTGAGAATCATGGCCCAGCCAAGTTGACACACAACCTTAACGATCACAGCACCTAACAACAACAACAGTATAATTTATATATAATGCAATAAAGTAATCTATTAAAGTGGTTTGATAGATTTTAAAAACATAATAAATTGCCTTTTATGTTACCTTGTTTAAAATCTTAATCCTCTCCAGGTTCCTGATAAAATCAGATTATCACAGAGTAATCTGAAACTAATTTACTATTCTTCTGAGTAGTACTAACATCTTAAAGGGAATTGTTTTAGAAATTATAAGCTAAAACAACAATATTTATGCAGAATTAATGAGTTGACACAACTCAATTTTAAGCATGTATTTTTTAAAATTAGAATTTAATGAGGTTTTTTTTTTTTTTGCCTTGAAGGAGGAAGATGTAAATATAAATGATCTAAAACTGGAAATCCTTTGCAAAGCTCTACAGAGAGATAAGTATGTTCTCATGGTGTGAATGTGAGATATGGTGACTTTAGAAGGGACTTTTCTTTAGGAAGATCATTGTGTTATACATTAAATTGTTTCAACCTTGTAATTGTAATGTGTAATATATTACAAAATTTTTAATGGTTGCATTAGTAATCTTAAAGTTTTAATTCAATAATTAAGGACTTAGGGCCACTGGCATAATAAATTACTATTTTTTATTTTTAAATTTAGACTGTCAGTTTGCACAGAAATATATGTTTTTTCTCATTTTCATAGAAGTAGAACCAGTTGTGCCAAAGAAAAAACAAAGCTACTTTTTTAAGAATAAAAAATTATAATTACTTGAGGGTCAGTACTCTCTTCTAAATTACTAAATACCTCTTTTTCACAGTCATCTTGCTAGAGAGGATTTCCATCTACACGGATGGTAATTCTAAGACTCAGTGGCAAAGGAGGATTAACAATAGTCAGTTGTAGGGATGGGCTCTTTCCAGGGAAAGAATTTTAAAGAGATTGTGACTTGACTGCTAGAAGCCTTCCCCTACTCAACAGTTTTTCTTTCTCCTATGGTGTTAAGAAATTGCAGTAGAACTACTTTGACTAAAGCATTTTCTTCTTGCTGTGATCACTCCCAGATAGTTAAAATTGTTAAGTTTGGTCTTAGAGGGCATCCGTGAAGCCTAATGCTGGGCTTACATACTTGATTACTTCTCCATCTCAGTCATACAGAAAGTATGCTGTCAGTTTGACTGGGGTTCCTTCCCCTGGCTTCTTATCTAAACATTTTTAAGGCAATGTGTGGGATACATCCATTTATTACTATAAAGCAGTGGTTCTGTGTGTTTGTATTTTAGTAGTAGATAGTCTCAACTAGATAAAGCAAACTTCTCCTCCCATGTTATGCCTTTAAGTTCAGATACTGGTTGCCATTATACTGTGACTGAAAAACAGAATATGTTATAACACATTGTAACTATTGCCTGTGCTATGAAAGAACATACTCTGGGGTCCATACTAGATTTGTTACTTACTTACAGAATTTTCTTGGGAAAGATACCTCACTACATAGTTTTTGAAATCAAAGAAGTGATTTCATATATATTGGATGAATAGCTACCTCAGTGCAGCATCTTATCTAGTAGAGACTATAAGTGTACCTAACATTTAAAGCTCCCTGTTTAAATTATCTAAAAGAGAGTCACAAAACTCAGATTCTTCACCGACCCCCACCATCAAAACAAAACAACAATAGCAAACAAATTTTTAAAAAAAAATCTGTCTGTGATTTCATTTTCACGTCAATGCTTTTGTTTTGTAGCTGGTCCAGTTCAGATGGTAAAGATGATCCAATTGAACTATCTAAAGACAGTATATTTGTGAAAATCTTACAAAAACTTTTAAAAGATGGTAAGTGGTTTGTTACTATTACAAATTACAGCATCACTCCTCAGAGTTAGAAACCTTAGATTAATTGGATTTGCTGAGATGTCAAATGACAGGGTGGTTTAAGACTAAATAGTATCATACTCAGAATTAGATTTGTTTAAAATAAAACAAAAAATTTTTTCCTTCCTCTGCAATTGGGGAAGTATGTATCAAGGTGAAGTCTTTATCCACCTCTGTCTCTGGGTGACTGCAGCTGGCAAAGTCTGCATGCTGATTCAGGATGCACAAAGAATGCCAGTCAGGATCCACGGGATGTGTACACGTCAGGATCCACGGGAGGGGCACGTGTCAGAAGATCCATGGGAGGTACACGTCAGGACCAATAGGAGGGGCACATGTCAGGATCCATGGGGGTGGCACATGTCAGGATCCACGGGAGGTACACACGTCAGGACCCATGGGAGGGGCACATGTCAGGATCCATGGGAGGTGTCAGGATCCACCGGACGGGCACCTCAGGATCCACGGGAAGCGCATGTCAGGATCCACAGGAGGGGCATGTCAGGATCCACAGGAGGTACACATGTCAGGATCCACGGGACGGGCATCTCAGGATCCACGGGAGGGGCACACGTCAGGATCCATGGGAGGTACACACGTCAGGACCACGGGAAGGGCACATGTCAGGATCCATGGGAAGTGCACGTCAGGATCCATGGGAGGGGCACATGTCAGGGTTCATGGGAGGTACATACGTCAGGATCCACGGGAGGGGCACACATCAGGACCCATGGGAGGTACATATGTCAGGATCCATGGAAGGGGCAAATGTTGGTTGTGACACTGAGAATCTATAGTGGTAGAAGTATTTATTTCCTTTTTTAATTAAGTCTTTTGTGAAGATTAAAAACTGGAAATGAGATATAAAAAGAAATAAGAAGGAAGTACATTTTGCATATGTTTGTACCTATGACAGTGAGCAAAACTCCATTTGCTAATAAAGACACAGATAGGTAAAGAAAATTTTATGGATAAAAAGCTCTCAGGGAAAAGATAAATTTGAGAAGACTTACTTTCACCTCCTTTCATGTTACAGGGAGCTTAATATATGGAGAATGTTACACTAGATATAAGAGATTTTGTAAATTTTATAAATAAAAACTATGACTCATGTTTATTACAGATTATTAGATCAAAATATGTGATGCTAAAATCCAGGCAATGTGCAAAATAAAATAGGCTTGTCCATTGTTCACCAATCTCTTAAAGTACAAGGATACTCTTTTAATATCAAATTGAAAAAACACACAGTGATAAAAAGCCATTGTAAATTCAGCAGTCCTAAATGAATGTGAATTTTATTCATCACGTTGACATTTGCATACATTTTAAAATTTATATATAGATCTGCAACATACATTATTTAATCTACATAAAACAATTGTCCAACCTAGTGCCTGGCACATAGTATTTTCTCAATAAATATTTGTTGCCCCAAGCCCTTTGTAGTAGATTCTACTACCGCTGCCCTGTTGGCCCTATTTCTGCAGCTCTCCATTTTAAAATCACTAGCTTAACCAAATGAAATGAAAGGACTGTTGGAGAAGTTTTATGGAACTGACTGTGCCAACCAACATTCTAAGATAAAGAGGAGCAAACTTCCAGTGTTTGTGCCCCAGAAGCTTTCTGCATGGGTCTCCTAGTGTTGTTTTCCAGGTTTTTGGTCTCCTGTTACAGCTGACAAACATAAATGCAATTCTATAACCAAATTACTTGGAACTTGCTCAACTGATCTGGACCTTTGTTTATGAAAAGTGGATATACTTGATCACCCCAAACTGACATAAAAGCATGTTTAATTAGTGCTTTCATTTTAAAAAATGGTTCATTAAACCTTTTTATTGTCAAAAATAAATAAAAATTTTAAAAAAACAGATGAAGGGATATAGCAAATATATCTTTGGCTTGAAAATACTTGAAATTTAGAAAGGGCACAGAGTGGAGCCCAGGTGGCGCAGTGGTTAAGCGTTTGGCTGCTAACCAAAAGGTTGGCCGTTCGAATCTACCAGCTGCTCCTTGGAAACCCTATGGGGCAGTTCTACCCTATCCTGTAGGGTCGCTATGGGTCGGAACCAACTCCATGGCAACAGGTTTTTTTTTTTTTTTGTATCTGTAAGTCTTTCTTGTTTCTATATTTGCAATTGAGGAAATAACTGGATATGGATGATCTTTCTGTACTTGTTAGGTTCTTCTGTTGAGCCTAATAAATTATTAGAACATGCTTTCCATGTAAAAATACCACTGAACTGAATGGTGTCTAAGTACCTAACGCTGTTTTAGTTTTTGCTTATTTTGAGTACATTATAAACCATAAATGGAAAATTACGGAGAAAATGGTCCAATTTTGGCTACAGGACAAAAACTAGTAGAAATTTTTATATAAATAAAAATACATAAATAAAAGATATGTTTATTTATTTATTATGACAGGTCAAAGGCATTTATTTTTGCAATCTTTTTAATAATACGATTTCTGTGTACAGTAGTATTTTTTAAAATTTGCCAACACCAGACTGAAATATTTACCTAGCAGCAGTTAGCTGGAGCTGAGTAGTGCTGTCCTTTTAAATAAGTCATTTGCTCTTAAAGTTTACTAAAATCCCTGCTCCCGCAAGGCCACCTTCACTCCTGTGTACCCAGTTACCTGCCAGGCCTTTGTAGGCATCTGAGTTTTCAAACCATGCTTTAAAGAAATGAAATCATCAGGTATTTGATCTAAACAGAAGGAATGCATTTAAAAAATAAAAGTCAAATAACCAGCAAAACCAAACACGTTTCTGTCGAGTCAATTCTGACTCATAGCAATCTTATAGGACAGAGGAGAACTGCCCTATAGGGTTTCCAAAGAGCGGCTGGTGGATTTGAACTGCCGACCTTTCGGTTAGTAGCCAAGCTCTTAACCACTGCAGCACTAGGGCTCCAGAAATCAAATAAAATATTAATTTTTTTTTAAAAGACTTTTATCTTTTATGACTGATATTTTCACAAGTGTAATACTGTTTTACTCAGAAGAGAAGTTTTTATTGAAAGTGTTAATTATAATAAATGATGTATAGATCGACAGCTACACAGATTTAGCCTCATAACATTTATCAACCTAGATTTTTAGTGTGTAACAATAAGTACAAAAAATGGTGTTAGACACTTTGAGAGTACTAAAAAAACTGATTTTGAGAACTTTATGGTAATGTAATAAATTATAAAATAATATTGTCTTATTAAAATATTTCCTCCAGTTTTAATCAAATGAGAAACTTGTAGATTACTTTTTTTTTCTGACTACACACATCTCAGTTTAAACAATTCAGGTAATCACTGTTTATTGGCATTCTTGCTCTGTGGATAATATGATGAAGTGCCTCTTTGACCTCTCCAGTTTTAGACTTAAAACTGTAATACATGAGATGTGGTAGCTAGTTTTCATGATAGTGTTTCTACTAAATTCTTTCCCAAAGAGGTGAAAATAAAATTATTTGAAGTATTTTTTTTAAAATGATTATTAAGTAAATAACTTCCACATTGAAGGAATGTCTTAAGCTGTGGGGGAAAGTGAAAATATTTCAGATCTCATTAAAGACTTTAAATAGATATGACTATTTTAACCATTGGGAGAGGGGAGGCAAACTCAGGTAGCTTCTTGTAAGTGAAGAATGTCATATTGTTAGACTTGCAGGTATGTTTGATAGATGGAAGGAATTTAGAACAGAGTATTTTCCCAATAGCAGACCAACACATTTTAAATAGGAACACGGGTGTTTTTGTCATCAGTCATCTTAATTCGAGAGTTTTTTGAAGATAAAAAAACACTCTTTGTTTTTTTTTTTTACAGGTATTCAGCTCAGTGAATATTTACCAGAGGTGAAAGACCTGCTACAAGCAGATCACCTTGGAAACTTGAAGGCCAATCCCTACTTTGAATTTGTTTTGAAAGCAAATTATGAATATTATGTCCAGGGACAAATGTAACTTTTTCTAAAAATGGTCATTGTTTCTGAAAATTTGTGTAAGTGTGTAGTAGTTATAAAAAATTTAGGTCTTAAGCATCTAGGAGTTTATACTTTTATAATAACTTACATGGTTGAGTTTTTTTACTTTATAAAATAATTATGTGGCTATAATTTTGGTTTTCAGTTCAAATATTATTTTTTCCCTCCTATTTCCATCTGAAAATTATCAGTTGTTGTATCTGTGCTTGCTACCTTTCCTTTCCATCTTGCTTCATCGGGAGTCCTGGAGTCCTTGACCTGGCTGTACCACAGGCTGCTCGTATGGTGCTGCACGGACCATGTCTCGGCATCCGTTTCTGTAACTCTAGAAACTGTAAGATTGCACTAGAGTGTCTCTGAAATCTCTGTGCATATTGTGCTCTTGAGAGCATTGAGATGTGTAATGTATGTTTTGGTTAGGGGTGGGAAATAAGATAAATGTCAAAGTTTGCTGACTTATGGGACTAAAAGACAAAACAGCGGGCCTAATTTCATGTGAGCTTGATAACTGGTTAATACATTGGGAAATTTTTAACTTTTCTACATAAATAGTAAGTGACTATTAATAAAAAGTATTTTAGTGAATAAAACATGTTTAATTGCCTTCCTAACCTATTAATTACCATTGATAAAAAGCTTATAGTGTTTTCATGTTAGTTATAATCTTTCATTCTGGGCATTCAGTCAGCCTTGTTTATCTTCAGAATGATTCACACCGAATTCCACTTTTACTACAGTCTGCTTAGCCAGTCAAAAGCATATGTAATTCTAGAAACCATTATGGGTTTTCCTAATATGGCAGCTGATTTAACTGAAAACTAGTGGTTCTCTCAAAGCTTTTTGCCCTGACAAGTGTCATGAGACACATTTCATCAGGCTTTAAATAAAAACTAGAATGGACTGGAAATTGCTGGCATATCCATACTTTGGCCCAGCTGGATGCTCACTAAACAACTTGATCCAACAGCTGAAAAGGTCATAAGTTAACTATGGTGAAGAGAGTCTAGCTCCTGGTTTTAAAAAGTGCAGCCATCATGCCTGCTCCCCTCAGGTTTACAGCCCAACCCTTGAACATGTTAGGAAGAACGGATTAGTGGAGCTATTTATGTTAATAATTAAAGGGAAGAAATTGGCAGCCTGTCCTTTTTCTTTTTCCAGCTTGTGTTAGGACATCATCAGGGCCCGGGTTAGGAATTATTAAAGAGCACAAAGAAAAGTTTGGAAAAGTAGCTTGCCAGATGGCTATTAATAAAACATTGAACACATGTTATAAGACTAGGCTTTGGTTTTACATAGAAATCAGCTATCAGTGCTCAGTTCTTGCCTTTATGCTCCTGTCGGGTGATAACGTGCACTGGGAACATGTACCACCATAAACCTCATTATTCCTAGTGCGACAGGAGAGGACTAAAGGAAAGCCAGTCTGATGATAACCTGACTTCACCAACTGGATGTAAAACTGCTCCTCCCACAGTATGACGTATGAGGAGAGAAAGGCTTGCTGTTGTAGCTCTGTCTCTCAGTCAGTAGTTATAGCACCAAAATTGTTGGGTTTTTAGAAAAAAAATTAGCAGTAAAAGTGAAATTAAGTTCTAGGATTTTGAATTTTTTTTATCCTAAATTTATAAAATTGATTCCACAGCACAGTCTTATGAAAGAATTATTGGTGGTTGTCATGGAAGTTGAGTAACTGATAGTAATTATAAAGGTGCTCTGTGACCATGTTCCACTGAGGACAGGTCTCTGAGGAAAGAGAAGCTCTGCTGACTTGGAAAAGGTTATTCCTATCTTTCAGTGCTGCCCTGAAAGTTATAGCTTGGGGCCTCAACTAAACAAATTAGTGAGAGTGTGCTTCTGATAGAGAGTAGAGGAAGACGTACAGCCAGCACTGGATATTGCTGTGTTTTGAGAATTCGTGAATGTGTCAAGGATTAAGGCAGGCCTTGAGAGACTTGCTGAAACCCTTAGTGAAGTAAAAGGCTACTGATACCCTGTTTTAGAGATAGAGTTGTACAATTTTCTTTTGAGATAAATCGTTTTCTCCAGTAACTTGAACAAAAGGAAAGCCACACCGTGATGGGTGTTAGACGTACTCTGTTGGAATTGGACCCACTTGTCCATGTTGAAGCTGATAACTATAAAAATACTGGCGTAGCCCCATTTACTTATTCTTGGACATTTTATCCTGAGAGTATCTGAAGAGAAAATAACTGTGTATTCATGTGTAAAAAGTCCGCTCATTAAACACAAAAGTATATTTTAAAAATATGTAATTCTAAAATTTTAAAAATACTGTAGAAAATATGAAACCTATTTTTAAAAAAAGCATATGGAAGAAAATAAACCTCTGTAATCCCACCAGCCGGAAGTAACTTCAGTTAATATTCTAGAATATGTTTTAGAACATTTTGGACTGCACATACTATTTTAGTTTGTAACCTGTTTTTTCATGTAGAATACTATGAGCATTTCTCTGTATCCTTAAACTAGTGTTTCTCAACCTTGTTTTCATTATCACCCCCTAAGGAGCCTTTTTAGACAATTTTTTTCCCTAATCACTCCACCCTAATAAAATTTTAATACCACAGATATTATTATATATCTTTTTATGTACTGTGTCCTTTGAAGGGCGTTGTAATCGAAGATTTTTTTCCACCCCCTAAGAACCAATTTTTGCCACCTTGGGGGCGCTATTGCGCCTTTTGAGAATGCCTGTCTTACACATTCTTAAAGATATGATTTGTAAATGACTGCACGACACTTTACCATATGGCTGTACCATAACTTAGGTTTACAAGTTTGAGTGTTTTGGTTTGGTTTTTTGCCATTTTTTATACTGCTAGTGTAAACAAATCTTTGTGCACTTCAGATACATTTAAAATCATACTGACTCTCCCTATTCAGTTTTGTGATGATGTCAGTGTACATAGAGCAGTTCTAATAACTTGTAATGTTCTTTCCTCACCTCTTCTAACACCACCCCTCATATCTCCTCCAGGCACTTAGTCATTTATTGAGTGTTTGTTATGTCCCAGGCACTTACTTCATTTTAATCCTCAAATAAGTCTTACGGAGTAGGTGGTATCCGCAGTTGAGAATGCAGTCTTTCCGGAGGTGACTTGCCCAAGGTTACATAGTCAAAGGGGAGGTAAGCCCAGGTTGGCTTGACTCCATAGTGCAAGCTTGTAACCAATACACTCTGTACTATGTATAGGTGATTGGCGAGGGGGCAGGGGATGCTGCACCGTTTGAATCATTTGGCTTTTAGAGATGGCCAGGGCAGAGCAAGGCCCAAAGGGATTAAGACCACTAGCTTCAGGAGGAGGAAGAAAGTAGAAAATCTAAGCCGCCTTTCTGACAGCCAGAGTTAACCTGACATTTTAGATGTGTGGAGAATAAGTTTGTTTTTTTCCTTTATCCATCTGGTAATTGGAATTTTTGTGACTTTTAGTTTAGCCAGCCAGCCCTCCTCACTTTCTTTTTGAGACGATCCATGATAGTTGCTGGGGAAACCATGACTTGTCATTTTCGGATGCCTTTGGCTCTTCATTGGAAAAGATCCCTTGAGGATCTGTTATGTTTCCAGAAGTGTACCAAGTGTTACAGGAGATTAAAACAAGTCGGAAAGCAGTCCTTGCCCTACCCCGGCCACTCTTAGTGAAGGGCTGGGCTGACATGATAAGCCCAGGCTTGGCCACTTACTGGATGTAGGGTCTTGAACATACTTAGCTTATTAAGCCTCCATTTTCTTAAAAAAAAAAAAAAAAAGAAATGGAGCCAATAAAGCCTGTTATGGTCGGGTCAGTTCCGATTCATAGCAACCCTACAGGACAAGGTAGAACTGCCCTATAGGGTTTCCAAGGCTGCAGTCTTTGCAGACTGCCACATTGGTTCAAACCTCCAATCTTTTGGTTAGCTGAGTGCTTTAACCACCGCATCACCAGGGCTTCAAGACTGGGATGAATAGTACCTATATTATTTACCTCAGGATAGTTAGAAGGATTCATTGAAACAATATGAAGTACAAGTATGTTTAAATTGATAGCAAACATTATAGGAAAAGGCTTAGACTGACTAAGATTGGGGTATGGATATGTGAGTTTAGGGGACAAGGCTAAACAGAAGGAAAGTGTGAATACCCCAGCTTAGCTGTAGAATGTCAAGAGCTGAGACTGCACCTGAAAATTTAGAAGCATGAGCTCTCTGTCAAGCATACCCTACATGGCTGACCTTTCGTTACTGGTAGTTCTTAAAAGGATATTCAAGCAGCAATCAGCTTACTCAGGCAAGAGCAGGTGCTGGTGTGCTCCCCAAGAGTACATGTATGGAGATGGCAGCTTTCCTACACACTCATTAGTTCTGTTCCCTCAGCCAATGGGAATTCAACGAGGCCAGAATGGGGCTGAGAGGGCCCTATGGTGGTACATTGGAGACTATTTAAACTGTCATCAGTCATGTGGGGCAGAAAACAAACATCTGAACTGGCTTCATCAGTCTCCCCAAGTTTTGCTGTATTAGCAGATTTCCATTAGCTTGTAAATGTTTTATTCATAGTCAGCTTTTAATGTGTGCTTGAATCCAGTACACTCTGAGCTTAGAAAATCTTGCTATAGGAGAGGAGCTGCACTGATCCAGAGTTGAAAAATACTGACAAGGCCATTCCTCTTTAAAATGTCAACAAATTCTTAGGTATCCAGTAAACAACAGCACATTTCTTCCTACCTTCAAGGCCAAAATGTAGCAGTTCCCTTCAAATTGCACGTATAGGTTATTTGCCAGGTTATTTGTTCCAGCATCCACTCCCCACCGACACGGAAGACATAAGGTATTAAAAATGAAGTACTCTGTCCATTATTCACTCATTTTCCATAAATGAAAAATTTTCTTATTTATGTGAAACCACCACGCCTTTTAACCTTTGACCCTTTATACTCACTACATAGGCCCAACTAACCAAATTCTTTTTTTTTTTTTAATTGATTTTGATCATTTTTAGGAAGAGCTTCCATGTGTGGGTTACAGAGAATGGCTTACATATGCTCTTATATCCCTTTTCAAGAGAATCCACACCTGTTCCAGTTGCTGAATTCCACCACCAAATGTGAAATGCAACTATTTTGGGAACACTTAAGCACATCAGAAAAATGAATGATTCTATTCTGGCTCGGACCAGACCATTGATGTACCCACGTAAAGCATGCCACTGAGTTCATCACAGAAAATTGTTTCTCCTTGTGCCTTCTACAGCAAGGTTAGAACTGTCCTCGTCAGGGAAAAAATACTATGAGACGGGCACAAACTGGATAACCTCTGACCCTCACACCACCTTACCATAAGTAGATCCAAATCCTTCTAGAAAATTAAAAGGCAATTCCCCATATATCAATGGTATAAATAGCACTGCTCCTCAGTCTGGTATATGCTGCCTCTCCAAAGTAGACTGGAAAGCAGCCTGGTCTTGCCAAGGTCTCATCCTCTAAATATAAAGATGAGTTTGTTCAGTCTTTGCAAAAGGAAAAAAAAAAAAAAAAAAAGCTACCTATGCTAGAGTGTAATGTCCTTGTCCTCTTTACTGGGAGAAAGGATGAGCAAAGCTTCATCTAGAAGACCCCCTCACTCCTGTCTCCACCTCCTCCACCTACAGGTCTAGTGGTCGTAGATTTGACCCTGGTGTTTTAGCCTCAGTGCGGCGGCAAGGAGGTGCGGAGGGGGCTCAGTTCAGCAGCTGGGGCCGGTCAGTACCGGAGGAAGGGGACGCACATCCCCAAACCCACTCCCTTCAGGAGCGCCAGAGTGCTCTGCTCGCTACCGAGGCGGACGGCTCTGCGAACCCTGACAGCGCCAGGCGCTGCCAGAGCCACCGCCAGAGCCGTCCCGGGAAGTCCCCGCCTCCTCCGCGCCGCCAGTTGTCTGCCCGAGACAGCTGCGCGCCCTCCGGCCGCCGTTGCCCAGTCTCTGCGGTGGGAGAGGGGGCTGTCCTCTGGATTTGGGGAGATCGGGGGTGATGAGGAGACCACTGGAGAGGGTCTCTTTCTTCCCTGCCTGGGATGCCGGCAGTGACTGCTTTGCCAGTCCTCGCACCCCTCCACTTCAACCCGCCGCCGCCTCTTCCCGGCAGCCGCGCGCCGGGTGGGGGTGGGGGTGGGGTATTGCAGGTCCGAGTAAAGGACCCAAGAAGGGGTGAAATGTGGGAGGCCAGGGAGCAGGCCATCTTCCTGAGCGTCCAGTGCGCCTAGAGTGGACAGGAGTGGGGAGTCCTTTCGGACAGGTGCAGGTCCAGGGAGGCGCAGGCGCGCACAGAGCCCATCGGGCACTCGGTGACCCTGGCCCCACCCATCCCCTCCTGCAGACAACTAGGCTGGGGCGGGAGGGGCGGACCAGCCCGGGAGACACTCCATATACGGCCCGGCCCGTGTTACCTGGGCCCCGGCCAGGCCGCTCCTTCTTTGGTCAGCGCAGGGGACCCGGGCGGGGACCCAGGCCGAGGACCGGCCGGAGGAGGGGGCTCTCGTGCCCAACACCCAAATATGGCTCGAGAAGGGGAGCGACATTCCTGCGGGCCGGCCGGGGGCGGCACGGGGGGAGCGCCTGCGGGCTATATAAGACCTGCACAGGCCAGCCGGCCACCACAGCGGACAGCACCCGAAGAAGCCTCGCCTCCCTCCCGCGGCGACCCAGGGCCCCGAGCCAGAGAGCAGCAGTTGTAGCCACCGCCCAGGTAGGGCGGGAGTGAGGAGGGAACCGGGAGAGGTGGACAGGGCACCACAAAGGGGAGCCCGGAAGACTAGCCCAGACAGCTCATCTGAGCCTGGGGCCTGCGCCCTATGCGCGGCGCCTATCCCTAGAGCCACATGCGCTTTAAAGACGAGGCAGTGGGCCTTTGGAAATCTCTCCAAAATTATCCCTAACCCCTTGGGGCTGCTCTGCCTGGCATTTGGGATGTGCCAAGGTAGATTAAAGGTTTTGCTTTAGTCTCTTGAGGGCAATTCCCATTCAGCGGAGTGCCAAAACCAAAGGGCAACCAAGGTAGCTCTGCCTGGCCTCACGGGCAGGGAGGGAAGGCCTCTGTCTGCGTCTGGAAGGTCGTGGATGTTCGCAGCTGTCCATCACTCTTTGGATGAAGGCCGAAGCGCCTTCTCATCATCTCCTTCCATCTTCACATTCACCCAGCGGGCAGGCAGGGCAGCCCTTAAACTCCCTACTTGACCGAGGAGGCAACCGAGGCACAGAGAGGCTGGGCTGCACAGACAGGTTGCTTTTGGAGTGGGGAAGACAGAGAGGTCTCGCAGTTATTTCCCTCCTGAGTACCCTGGTGAAAGAATTCCTGATGGCCTCCACAGACTCTGGGATCTCTCTCCACCGCGCAGCAGCCCTGAGTCCCCGGGGTTGAGGGAAGCCCGGCGCAGTTTGGGGCTGGGGGTGTCCCTAGGTCCCGGGTAGGAAGGGCTCTCAGGCCGGCCAGGGTTCGCCTCTGGGCCCTGAGGCTCCTGCGCTAACGTGCCATGCGTTTCCGCGGCCTCCCTGTCCTTGCAGAAACCAGATACCATGTGCGACGAAGACGAGACCACCGCCCTCGTGTGCGACAATGGCTCCGGCCTGGTGAAAGCCGGCTTTGCCGGCGATGACGCCCCTAGGGCCGTGTTCCCGTCCATCGTGGGCCGCCCCCGTCATCAGGTCAGCCGCCCGCCTGGCCCTGAGCGCCGGCCTGGCCCGCGCTCTGCCCTCCGCGCCGCCTCGGTACAGCCCACCGCAGTAATATGTGCGTGGTCTGTCCGCTCCGCAGGGCGTCATGGTGGGCATGGGCCAGAAAGACTCCTACGTGGGCGACGAAGCGCAGAGCAAGCGTGGTATCCTGACACTCAAGTACCCCATCGAGCACGGCATCATCACCAACTGGGACGACATGGAGAAGATCTGGCACCACACCTTCTACAACGAGCTCCGCGTGGCCCCCGAGGAGCACCCCACCCTGCTCACCGAGGCCCCCCTCAACCCCAAGGCCAACCGCGAGAAGATGACCCAGATCATGTTTGAGACCTTCAACGTGCCCGCCATGTACGTGGCCATCCAGGCCGTGCTGTCCCTCTACGCCTCCGGCCGTACCACCGGTGAGTGCCCCAGGCCCAAGGTCCCGTCGGCGCTGAGGGTCGCCTCCCCTCCCGACGCGCTGCCCCACCCTTAGCCCCCAGCATTGGCGCACCGACCATATCAGGTCTCCGCAGCCACTTCCCCGCGCCCACCCAGTCCCGTAAGAAGGGTCGCTGCGCTCCCGTAAGAAGGGCCCCAGGGCCAACGCGCCCTGGTGCCCAGTCTCTCAGACCTGGGGACCAAAGGCCCGTACTCCCCGCGGCCACCTCGGCCCGCTCCAGCTGGCGGGTAGCCAGCCACTCATTTGCTGCTCATCCCCGCTCCCTCCGCCTCGAGCAGGCATCGTGCTCGACTCTGGCGACGGCGTCACCCACAACGTGCCCATCTATGAGGGCTACGCCCTGCCGCACGCTATCATGCGTTTGGATCTGGCCGGGCGCGACCTCACTGACTACCTGATGAAGATCCTCACCGAGCGCGGCTACTCCTTCGTGACCACAGGTGCGCGACGCCCCGGGGCCCCGAAGGTGGGTGTGCAGGACCTCGCGCCCCTCCGCGCAGGGCTCACTGTCCCCCCTGCCGCCCGCAGCTGAGCGCGAGATCGTGCGCGACATCAAGGAGAAGCTGTGCTACGTGGCCCTGGACTTCGAGAACGAAATGGCGACTGCTGCCTCCTCCTCCTCCCTGGAGAAGAGCTACGAGCTGCCTGATGGGCAGGTCATCACTATTGGCAACGAGCGCTTCCGCTGCCCGGAGACGCTCTTCCAGCCCTCCTTCATCGGTGAGCGCCCCTGGCTGGGCCACCCCGAGGGCCCGCCCGCCCCCGCCCCTGCCCTCGCCCCTGGCGTCCAGTCTCACGCTCGCCCCGCCACCCGCAGGCATGGAGTCGGCCGGCATCCATGAGACCACCTACAACAGCATCATGAAGTGCGACATCGACATTAGGAAGGACCTGTACGCCAACAACGTCATGTCTGGCGGCACCACTATGTACCCTGGGATCGCTGACCGTATGCAGAAGGAGATCACCGCGCTGGCGCCCAGCACCATGAAGATTAAGGTGGGCTGCGCGGTCGGGCACGGTGCCTTCCCCGCTTCTCCCTCGGCCTCCTCCTGGCCCCCGGGGGCGGGTCTCTGCGCCCAAGGCTGCTCCTCACTGCGCGCGCTCTTCTCTTCCAGATCATCGCCCCGCCAGAACGCAAGTACTCCGTCTGGATCGGCGGCTCCATCCTGGCCTCGCTGTCCACCTTCCAGCAGATGTGGATCACCAAGCAGGAGTACGACGAGGCCGGCCCCTCCATTGTCCACCGCAAATGCTTCTAAACACAATTACACCTTCTATGTGCGAATTCTTCTCAGGATGACAAATCTGCTAAAGTTTCAGGTGGCTGAACTCGAGCTACAGCCAAGTACCTTTTTCTCATAACAACTTCCGTTACTATTGCTGCAAACTGACACAGTGTTTATAAAGTGTACATACATTAATTTATTTTACCTCATTTTGTTATTTTTAAAACAAAGCCCTGTGGAAGGAAATGGAAAACTTGAAGAAGCATTAAACTCAGTCATTCTGTTATGCTGCGTCAGGTTTTGTTTGTTGTGTTTGTGTACTGGGGGTGGGGAACAGTGGGTTGGGCGGGGAGAAGGAAGAAGGGCCCTACCCTTTCGTGGCACTTCACACAATACTTCCAAATGATATGCGCTCTTTTCAAGACAAAACTCAGGGTTTTGCCCTCTGGACGGATCCATCCCAAAACACTAATATGCTTGTGGTGTCCTTAAAAAAAAAAAAAAAAAAAAAACCCGTTGCCATCGAGTCGATTTCGACTCATATGTATTCATAGTACAGAGTAGAACTGCCCCATGGCGTTTCTAAGGAGCTGCTGGTGAATTCGAACTGCCAACCTTTTGGATAGCAGCCGAGCTCTTGACCACTGTGTTACCCGGGCTCCTTATTTGACCCCAGTGTGAGGCATCTTTGTCCTTCACTAAGCACAGTGGTTGAATTGGTACACGTTGCTACAGACGACTGCGAACGCGCGGCCCTGGAGCGCTGCGCAACCGCGGGGCGCTGACCATGGTGCTGTGCTCTGGAGAGCCGTCCTGCATGACTTGGTTCAGCTCCGCGTCCTCCCGCCTGCGAAGTTCCATACTGAATCTCGAGATCCAATGGAAAGAGTTGCATTCAGCATTTCGAAATCCAGTTTTAATCTATAAGTGAAGATAACCGTTTTACCTTCCGTATCTGGAATTCCTTTGCTTCGTACCAGATGCTGGTGGTATAAAGAGCTGCCCCTCACAGCACAGGGCTGCGGAACAGCGACGCACGGAGGTGGGAGAGGGCGAGGAAGTGCCAAGCGATAGCTTCAGAAAGGACAGTGTGTGCTGGGGTGGGGAGGTCCCTGAAGACAGGATAGCAAGAAGTGTCTGGAGGGAGGAGAACTGAGACCCACTCTTGAAGAAGAGGATTTAAGCAAGAGTAGAAGGAGCAATGCCCCAGAAATGGAAAGGCATGAAATACAGAGTTTGAACTTCTATAAACCAAACCAAACCCGTTGCCGTCGAGTTGATTCGGACTCATAGCGACCCTATAGGACAGAGTAGAACTGCCCCATAGAGTTTCCAAGGAGCGCCTGGTGGATTCGAACTGCAAGCTTTTGGTTAACAGTTTTAGAACTTAACCGCTATGACACCAGGGTTTCCTGAACTTCTATAGAAGAGCACAATATCTATTTCTTAAAAGAAGCTTTAAGTTTCCTAGACAAGATTCTCAAGAGCAGTGGTCCTTAAATAAAACAGGTTCTCAAAGGTAATAAAAATCATTCAGAAATATACTTACAGGTAGAATTAGCAATATATAAGACTTACATGCCCCAAACAGTATGTTTACGCCCCCTTTTCAGTGCTACTGAAATGCTTCAGGAATCTCTGAGGCCTCCAACGTAGTAAGACTGCCAAATTCAGACATCAGGAGATTCAGTAAAGTTTAAGATTTCATAAAACAAGTATATGATTCCATGCCCACTAAAAACGATGTATTATTGCCACACCTACGTTAGACAAAATTAAAAATTAGTGAAATTCTAGTCTTTCAGAGAAAGCCAACTTTTAATGATCATAATAAACACACATAGTCATACAGCTAACAACACACACACACACATACAGAGGCTGAATAAATCACGTAGCCAGCAGCCTGGAAAAATGTCAAAATTACATGAATTAGTTAACAGTCACGTGAAAACATTTTTACCAGACCCCAAAATCATGTAATTCAGATTTAAGTAAGATATATAAGGAGATGGTGCAGTGGTTAAGTGTTAGGCTGCTAACCAAAAGGTCAGCAGTTTGAATCCACCAGCTGCTCCTTGGAAATCCTATGGGGCAGTTCTACTGTGTCCTAGACGGTCGCTATGGGTCGGAATCTACTCAATGGCAATGGGTTTAGTTTGGTTTTGTTTTATGCAAGGAGGTAATGACCTATTTCTTCTGTCATAGTAAATGACTAGTGATATTTTAGAACTGATGAAGTTTTCAATATAATTTTGTGGCATTTCTTCAAGCTCCAATTAATTTTTAAAGCCTGTCTTCGACATTCATTATTCTTCTACTGAAATATAAGAATGGAATTATGAATTATATAGTTTGACTGGAAATGCACCAACTCTAAAAATTACCTTTCCTTTTTTGACACTTCTCTGAAGAGAAGCAAGCTTCAAGTATTTTATTAGTGTTCTGCATCTTTTCTGCTCTTGTATTAGCTGTGATTATGGGGACTTCGAAAATTATGTTACCAGTATTAGGCCTGAAAGAGGATTTTAGTGTGATGTAGGAAGTCTTTCAAAAAAAGATCCAAACCATATATAAATACCTGTGCTAGGTGAGGCAAGAGAGAACTCTTTTCAGCAGCTGTATGAGTGTTTATGGTAATAAGAAGCAAGAGCCCTTGTGTAGGGATGTTACAGCAGACTCCTAACTGAAAAGCCATCTCAGAGAACCTGTTTCTTTGGAGCTGTGAGATAACTGAAAACAAAAGATTTCCCCAACGATTGCTTACAGTGTGTGTACATGCATATGTGCATTTCCTTAAACTTAGCAACAGGGCTTTTCAGGACTGGCTACCTAACTGGAGTTATTTCCTTCTCAGAAATGCCCATTAAATTGCCACTGTTTTCGGACTGAATTGCTGGGTGGAGGGCTCTGGGGACCATGGTCTTGGGGAATGTCTAGCTCAATTGGCATGACACAGCTTATAAAGACAATGCTCTACATTCTACCTTGCTGAGTAGTGTCTGGGGTCTTAAAAACCTGTGAGCGGCCATCTAAGATACTCCACTGGTCTCATCCCTTCAGGAGCAAGGGAGAATGAAGAGAACAGGATACAAGGAAAAGATTAGTCCGAAGGACTAATTGTCCACAGCTACCAAGGCCTCCACCGGACTGAGTACAGTACAGCTAGATGGTGCCCGGCTACCACCACTGACTGCTCTGACCAGGATCACAACAAAGGGTTCTAGACAGAGCTGGAGAAAGATGTAGAGCATAATCCTAACTCACAGAAAAAAGACCAGATTTACTGGACTAAAGGAGATGGGAGAAACCCCGAGAGTATGGCCCCCAGACACCCTTTGAGCTCAGTGGTGAAGTTACCTCCGAGTTTCACTGTTCAGCCTGGGAGTGGACAGCCCCGTAAAACCAAATGAGACTAACGAGGTACAGGAGTCCAGTGACAAGGGCCAGAAAGCAGAAGGGGACAAGGAAGCTGGTGATAGGGAACCCAAGGCTGAGTAAGGATATTGTTGATGTGTTGTGAAATTGTTAACCATTGTTATAGGGCAACATTTGTAATAACTGTTAAATGAGAAACTATTTTGTTCTGTAAGCCTTCATCTTAAGTGAGGATAACAGCACAATTGGAAGAGCGTAGTCAATGTCACTGAACTGTGCATGTAGAAATTTTTGAAATGGTGTATCTTTGGCTATGTGTATTTTCACCAAAAAAGAAAAAAGGTCCTCCAAGTTCAAGAAGGGAGAGTGTTGACATGTGGGTTTGTTAACCAATGTCATAAAATAACATGTGTACTTCTGTTTCATGAGAAACTATCTGTTCTGTAAGCCTTCACCTGAAGTACAATTAAAAAATAAATAAATAAATAAGTTCCCACCGTTTTCACTAAATCTGTATTAGTGCTGTCTAGGGTAAGAAAGACAGGACAAAGGAGAAAGTGGGAAGATAAAATCTGTTAAGGTTAAAAATAGGGGCTGTGTTTGACTGGGAAGCATGGAAAGAACTGGGGCAGGGATACCCTTGGCTCTATCATTTCAACCTTTGGAAGTTAGAATCTGACCATGGAATGTCAGGGCTCCTCTGAACTGCGTCTGCATGTCAAGCCAGATGCGGCAGAACTCACAAGGAGTTAATTAAATATTTCATTGCTTACCTACTAGGTGGCTAGGAGTACAGAGAAGGCTAAGACGTGATGGCAGTGTCCTTAGGAGCTTACCATCACGGTCCCCAACATCAGTAGCCGCTTTTATGCCTCAATCATGTTATTAACAGGAAGCCTGTGGGAGGTGGCTGCTGGCTGTGAGGGAGGCAGGGGGCACATCCTGGACAAGGAACCGTTCAGACTATGTGGACGCTGGGGCTGTTTCTCAGTCTGTTCAGACACTTTTTACTACAAGAGTGCCTTTCTGACTGCACAACATTGTTTTCTGACAAGGCTGAATGGTTTCCAGATATAGGTTCTTGTTGAGGAAAACACATCCCTTCATTGTGTTCAAGAAGGCCTGTTCATGCCTCTGGCCCTAGGGAGGGACACAGAGAGTGGCACTGCCTCTCACCCCGCAGTGACTCAGTCCTGAGGAGTGGAGGAGGAAATGGTGAGTCTGGGCTCAGTGCCACAGGTTAGCTCTGTCCACGCAGGGCAGTTTCTTGGTCAGCTGCTGGTCTGCCTGCCGTCCTTCCTTCTTTCTCTCACTTTGGGTCCCTCTCATTTCCTTTCTGTGCTGCGTTTGCAGCCTTCTCCTCTGAAGGCATCAGTTTCAGCACTGTTGATGTGTCACAGTCCATTTGAGGAGTTACCACAAAGCTGAGCATCTGTGCCTCAACTGTGGCTCTCAGAAAAGAGCTGAGAAAATCTGGCTTTGACGGCACTCTGTTTAGTTAGGCACGTGGTGGGGCCATAGGGATTCCAAGCCCACCTCGTTACCCACAGCCAGAGCAACTCTCCCAAGCGGTCCATGGACTGCAACTTACAAAGGTGGGGATGGGGTGCAGAAAGCAGCTCGGGTTTATGAATGGGGAACATGAGTGAGGAACATGGGAGGTTTCACTAAGACCTGCTCTGTCTTTCAGGACACTGGATGGCCCACCACTTCTGTGAAGAATCCCTGAAACTTCCTATTGACCCTTCCGTCCCTTACGAGTACTTAATGGTTTATCCTGACATTGAACAGATTCTGGAGATGATGAATGAGTGAAAGGAAAAATTTTAAATGTGCAAACGTGACTTTGCTAGTTCCTAAGTGTGAATAGAATCAGGATGGCCATTGGCATGACAATAATCTGGGGTTTCCTCAAC